GAGCACACTCATTGATGCAGTAGCCAAATCTCTTGCTCACAACTTTCATGACAGTAGCTCACAAAGGAGAATTTTTGCTCACAAGACTCCACAGCTTAGAGGGAACATTGATCAGGAGCAGTCTGATTTTCTTCTCCCAGAAGAGAGCGGGTGCAAACCCCACCCACGTTTTCCTAAGCATGCAACTAGCCCCAAGCCAGCCACAATTGCCTGTGAACCAGAGGTGGGTGCGTGGCTATCCGGTGCTGCTAGAAACCAACAACAGCGTTGCCGGGGGATCCCACCGGGCGAGGGGAGTGCTCCTGGAGGATCTGCTTTTCTGACAAGCTCCTAGGCTTTCTTTTACGACGTTAAATGATAATTAAAAAGCCTGTCCGTGCAACGCTTGTGCTGACGCAAAAGAGGCACGCCTCTGCTCCACTCTTCTGGAGTGCCTGAATTTACAATGAGTCCACTGTCTGAGCAAATGTCCTCGGCGAAAGGAGACTGCGTTAAAAAAAAAAATAATCCCGTGACCCAACAAAGAGAAGAAACGCATGCTGACCGCGTAATATCAAATTACAAGGAGACCTAATGTGAAAGGCGCGAAGAAAAGGGAGTTCACGTGTAAAGGAAGACTCTTTTTAAAAACTGAAACTTAAAAGTCTTCCTGAGCAGGTGCAGAGCTAAGGGGAGGGGGAAAGGAATGTGCTGCCACGTGTCCTCTGAGGGAGGGTACCGCACAACCAGCTCCCCCCCCCCTCCTTTTGTCCTCTTCTCTGACTCTGGCTTTAAACCCCGCCCCCGAGACCTACAACACTGTGGCCCCGTCACACAGCAAAGTTGCCGGGGGAGAGGCACAGAAGGTGGGTGGATTATCCGGGCAAGATCACACCCCAACATCTGGGAAGTGGAGCGCACCCAGGTACATAGACAGCTCTACTTGTTTTGGAATCCGGAATCCATCAGTCTATCCCTCAGGCCACTGGTAGGTGAAGATGGGTAACTCCGGGGAACAGGGCCTAAGGCACAATTAGAACACTTCCAAACCACAATCCCTTCTAGCTGGTTGCTGTGCATTCTTGGGAGTTAAAATTAAGCCTCCACTGGTTTTAAAAATAAATCTAGCACTCAGGGCTTAATCAACATGCCCAGGAGATTGTCGAAGCACTACAACTGTAAGCACGTTTGGTGTCCTAGGCAAACTATGACTGTGTCCCACCCCCCTTCCATTTGTTTGTAACATTACTTTAAAAAAAAAAGACATTTGTGTCCAACTGCATATTTCTTGAAACCTGGCACTTTCAGAAGCTGCCTATTATATCGGGTTTCCAAAAGGTCTGATGGGAAAAGGTCCTGTCCCTTTAACTGAGACTTAATGGGGAAATATATATATGCCATGAAAAGCTTCACCTGCCCATTTTCACCCATTAAGCCTTTGTTAAAGAGGCAGGAGCTTCTTCTCCAGGGCTCTTGGCAACATGACTAGTATGTGTATATGGTTAGGCCAACCCCATTGCAAAGGTGCTGAGATGCCCAACAGACTCTCAGAGATTCCCACTGTCACCACGCAACTGCAATTCCCTGAATTCTTTCCAGCCAGTTACTCTGTTGGAGGAAGAGCCAGTTAAGTTGGAGGAAAGATTCTACTGAAGAAACAAGTGCTCTTACCACCACAATCAACCCACAGACCTAAGTCAGAGAGAGTGTTTCCCAAACAATCTGAACTTGTGAATCTCTCATTTTGAAACCAATATACTACACAAAAGGTTTGCACATCCAGAGAAAGAAACTTTTTGGAGTTGTACCTTCTAACTATCAAGTTGCCTCTCTCTAATCCTTGCTCTCCTCTTTCAAATTGCTCAACTAGTATCCCCATCTTAAGCATGACCATTACAAAGTGATTATTGCTGAGTAATACTTGAAATTAATGGAGGAAACACTGCTTGAAATAGATTGGAACACATTTTTTAAAATGCTAACATCATGTTTCTACATTGCTGCCTTTTACTTATTCCTGCCATTTTAATTACAGACCTATTCTTACCTGTTCTCCCTTTAGAAAATTTACATGGCATGACTTTTCTGAATTGGGGCTATATTACTTCCACCTACAGAAGTACAAAGTCCAGCATACTTAAAGAGTTTAAATGGCAGTAGAGGCTACACTGTCTCTTGGTGAAGAAGGTCAGAATTACTTGGCCAAACCCATTTTGAGAAGGGTGCAACCCCCCCAAAAAGACAAGAACTATTCAGACATTTCCCAAAGCCTGCAAGGAAATGACACAGGATGTTCCTAGGCTGGGACAGTGTTTGGCTCACTTGCTTGATTCCTTTGGGGCTATTATTTGCTCTCTGCAGACACTATACCAGGGCCCCAAAATAAAACAGGAGTCCAGTGGCATCTCGAAAACTAACGCAAGTCATTCCCACATAAGATTTCATGAGCCAGAGCTCACAGATTTTTGGGTCATCCTGAGGATGTGGCAGGGGGAAGTTGTAATATAGACATCTTTTTGCCCTTTCCAAGTTTATAGCTCTATTAATAAAATGACATCTATCTGGAATGGGGGAGCAAAGGCAGCATGGTATAGACTGATCTCATCAGCTCTTGAAAGCTAAGCAGGGTCAGTACTTGGAAGGGAGACCACCATGGAAGGCTCTGCAGAGGCAGGCAATGGAAAACCACCTCTGCTTCTCACTTGCCTTGAAAGCCCCTTGCTGGGGTCACCATAAATCACCTGAGACTTGACAGCACTTTACGTATGTGTGTGGGGGGGGTGTCAATGGGGCTTAGCATACCAAGGCTTGCAATCACACCTACAGGGCAGTGCCACCCATCACCATCTTCTAGGGGACTATTTACAAGGAGCTCTTTGGCAGATACAAAGGACCAGACAATTCGGGGACCTCTTTGGCCTTCCCCCCACCTCATCCTTTTCTAAAAATATTTGGGAGAGGGAGAACCCATAATAAATGCACTTTCACTTCGAACTGCAAGGTGATTTAAAAGAAAACACTGCAGTGTACTGCCGGCTTCTTTTTCTCTCCGCCTCCATCAATACACCGGGAAATCCAATCCCCCCCCCCCGATATAAAATTAGTCACCGCCCCCGTCTGTGGTTTCTCCAGTGCTGGAAAGCAGCAGCTGGTGCGGCCCAGCTCAGGCGAGCAGCGGAGAGGAGAGGAACGAGCGGGGCGTAGGACCCTGCAGAGGCCCTCCTGCTGCTACCCAAGCCAATGTGCGAGGTTTAGCAGGAGCTGTCGCTGGGCCGCCGTACACCTGCTAGCGGCGTGAGCCCGCCGGCTGCCGCTGGGCTCCACCGCAGCGTGCAAATCTCGCCTCTTAACGCACCAGAGCTTCCGGCTTTTGATCTCGCCCGGCCAAATGCGCCGTAAAGACCGCAAGCCCCGTCCTTCAGCGCGCGCGCACACACCCACCCACCCCGCCGCATCGCCGTCCGCCCTCGCGCCGCTCCGGACCACGAGAGGGGCGTGTGGAATAAAGCAGAGCGACTCTTTACATTATATTTAAAGCCTCCAACTTTCTTTCTCTGCTTGGGAATTGAGGAGTCAATGTTTCTTGCAGTACACTTTTCAAGATGCGCTACTTTGGTGCCGGGAGAGGACTTCTATCCTACCCTTTCCAAAATCGGTAGAGAGTACTAACTATTCCTCTTAAGAGAAGCGTTCCCAAAGGAGATGCATGGCCCCCCCGGGGGGGGCTGTGCCCACACACACTGCCATCCTTAAAAGGGCTTAACTCTGCCTAGGATGCCAATTCAAGCCTATGATAAAACTGGACATGGCCCGACTCTGCCCTGTGACATCCCCACTTCGGACCTTCCCCTTCTAGCCCTGAATTCTTTGAAGCTCATCTCTTTCCTACAGCACCGATATTACCTAAACAGTTAACAGCAATTTTTAAAAAGCCCAGGTAGATCATGTGGGACACCTGGCACTGAAGCATGACTGGTGTGTGGTGCATATGTGCAAAGGATCACATTGGCACTCTGCTTCAGTGCTGTCAGGTGGATTCTCTCACAAGTTAACTCCTCCCAACAGTTCTTGGTGCCTGGCTCGCTCCCTGAAGGGGCATTCTTTTATCCCATCTTTCAATCTAGTTATTCCAAAGCTCAGGGGTATTTGTACTGGAGACCAACCCTGAGCACTTGTGAGCCCATTTTCACACTTTTTTTGGGGGGGGGGGAAGCCGAGAGGTCTGAGTAGGGCCCTGAACCATAAGCCTTCCTAGGCACCAACCTTCTATGCAGAGTCACAAATAGGAAAGAAAATGCAGGGAATGCTCTTTTTTAAATTAGCTCTGCGAGGAAGGGAAGCCTGCCTGCTGCGGCTGGGGAGTGGATCTTTCATGAGATACCTGCACTGAGGCATGCCAGGGAGGGCAGAGAAAGATGGCTCGTCTTCCTCCCGGAGCGGCCACTATTATTATTTCATGACTAAGAGATCTCAGTTTATGATGCAGGCAGCACCAGCAGGAGTGGCTGTGGGCAGGAGTGGAGCCACTGGCTATGGGTGGGGGGGAATCCCCTCAACCTGGTTTGTTTTGCAGTTGGGGCAGGCTGCTGGAGGGAAGAACCAGAAGAGGAGGAGGAGGAAGGTGTGTCCTTTATTGGCCCTCTAGACTCTTTCCAGGAAAGTGGATATACTTTTAAATGGGAAACCGGTTCAAGGACTCTGGGCAGGGATAAACATACTTCTTATCCTTACCTGCACTTTCCTCTCAACCACAAATTGCAGGGGGGGGGGTGTTCCACATTTTAATTTTTCAGTACTTGCAGCTTTTGAGTTTTTAAAAAAATCCCAACTTGGACGTCTGCAGCTCCACCCCCCCCTCATTTTTTGTGCAAATTCCAGAGGCATTTCAGTTTCCCCAGGGCACAACAACAACAATCTTCTGCCCTCCCATATCCCCCCCAAAAAAGGAAAATTAAATTAAACCCAACTTGTCATTTTTTTGCCATCCCGCAGCCACCAAAGGGTTAATCGCCCATACCTACCAAATCTGCTGTGGTCTTGCCTGGTTCCTTGGATCGTACCATTGGGGAAAATTTCTAAATGAAATCCAGTCCTGCAGTAGAGTTGCCTCCGCCGGAGGATCCCTTTTAAATGATCCAGGTCCGTCACCGCAGGCCCCCTGGGGAGCCCACCTGCTTCAGACTGCCCCAGGTGGTCGCTTAACAACACCGGGCTGTCCGCCGGCAACACGGGCACGTTCCCAAAGGGCACCGCATCCTGCACGCCAAAATAGTTCCCAACTTCACCTAAAGGAGCCATCAGGAGCGAGGGGGGGAAGGGAGGGAGGGGGGGAAGGGTGGCTTCTTTTGCAGCAAGACTGTAATGCTGGCGCTCGAGCCCAATATTCTTTTCTGTTTCTCCCCCCCTCTCTGGCTCCTTTTTCTTTTAAAGATGGGTTGCCGCTCCACTCTCCCCTCCAGGTTCCACTTACATCGAGGGGAGGGGGGGGGAAGGTTCTCGGTTTTTTTAATCCATCAATAATAATGATGATGACAATGACAATAAAGTAATCTGTTTTGACAGCTTCAGGTTCAAGGTCAAACCACTGATAGTCTCAAGAAACCACCAGGTTGGACTCGCACACTGACATCTTTATAAGCACGAGAGAGAGAGAGAGAGAACGAGAGAGGTCTAGAGGTATATCAAGGGAGAGACCATCTATAATTCCCCAGCTCTTAGCAAGCGGTAAGATCTTCTGCCCATCCGACCGTAATGAGGGTAAAAATCCGTAGTTTCTCCATCGGGCGCCGGAGCAGAATGACCATAGCAACTTCACTGTCTAAGCCGTTACCGAGGGTGGAAGGTACACATATATTGTTATATACATTGAAGGATGCACGGCGATGCCAGGATTTTTATGGATTCTGACTCCAGAAAGGCATGCGCTGTTTTTACTCTATAACAGACTGCATACATCAGCATGAATCCTGCAAAGCAGGGAGGGGGGGAGACACACACACACAAACGCAAGAAAAAGGGGGAAGCTCACATTTGCTGGCTGAGACAAATCCCCCCAAAAGAAAAAGATGTTTAAAAAAAAAAAACTTTTGACGTCCAGATCTATTATCCAGAATGTTCAGGAGGCCCCCCAGATGCCCCTGGCTTTAGCCCGGCTGGCGATCCACCCCTTGCCACAAGGAGGGCAGCAACGTCCGAGCGCCGCGGGTGTCTTCTCGCTGGCTCGCCTCGAGACAGGTGTTGCTTCCGCAGGGCTCCCGCGGCAATGTTGTACTCCAGCCCCGAGCTGCGGCTCTTGACTGTGGCTCTTCCATCCAGCACGCAAGGAAAGTGGCGCAGGAAGAGGCATTGGGCTGGGTTTAAGGTAGTCCAGTTTGCTGGCGGCGAGGATTCCCCCGGGTCCTAGCGCTCATCGTTACCTGCTGCAATAGAGCGGTGGCGGTGGCGGCGGTAGCAGCAACTCCTTTCCATCCCAGCCTCAGCCCGCTGGCTCCGTGCAATTGAATCGCCTCTCCTAAGCAAGCAGCTCTCCCCCTCTTTTAAAAAAAAATACTGCTCTGCGGCACTCCCGTACAGGCGGCGAGCAGAAGCACAGAGCAATAAAAGAAATCGCTGGGACCAAAAACTTTGGGGCAGCGATTGAAACCTACCCGCTCGTAAGCAGCGACAGAGAAAGGGGGTTGGAAGGGTGGGGAATTACATAAAGCGAAAGGTCTCGGCGGACGGCAGTGTGGCGTTGCATCCAAGCGTTTTGATGTTGGGATTTGGCGCTTGAAGTCGTGTTTTGTATGCATAAGAATAAGACCCCCGGATACAAGGCGCGCGGTTGCTGCGAAGCTGGGTCCCGCTGAACTCAACGTTGCGCACGCTCCTCTGCCCAGATTCAGGAGGCGCAGAACTTGCAGGCTGACAGCTCGCCCGCAGGCGGGTTGAGTCGAGAACTCAGCCGCACTTGTGCTCAACGGGACACGCTCCTCTGAGGTGAGGTCTGAATAAGCTAAGCAAGCAGGCACACTTACCTGCGAGGGAGTCACGCTGCTCGCAATCTTGACCGATCGGCCGTGGGATGGGAAGGATCCTCGGACCCAGACGCTGCAGGGAAACTCCCAGGCAGAGCTAGGGAGACGAGCGCCACCCAAACAACCTCCCGCGCCGTGCCCGGGGGTGCCGGCCTCTTTTCCAGCTCGGGAACCCTGCCGTGGCGTGGGCTGCAGGACGCGATTCACAATTCCACCCTATGCATATCTCCTGGGTTCGATGGAAACGACTTCCCAGGTTCGCAGCATTCAGGAGATGGGGGGATGTGCGGAGAGCCCAGTTTCCCTTCTAGAGCCGTCTGGAATTCGCCCGTTGTCCGCCTCTGCTGCTGCAAATGGAAACGGGCCCAAGAGTGGGCAACGGGGAAGGAGGTCGGCGTTGCCCAGTTGCGCCAGCACGTGGGGAGACAGTCCCCGCGGGTTTGCTGACGCCACGTCATCAGCGTTGCGCTGCGGGGCCTTTACCTAGGTCCCGCGCGACGGCGGGAAAAACTGCTGGTTAGGGGGGGGGGTGCAAGAAGGTGACGCTTGTGAAGTGGTTTACATATGCAGGTACACCCCAAAGGCTGACTCTGGAAGGTAGGGGGCTTGAAAAAGGTTTTTACTTTAGGGAGGAGGGGCGATACACGAGCTGGGCCCCAGAACCCTCATTCAGTGCTAGTTTTCAGTCTGGAATACTGAAAGAATGATAAAGATTGCTAGGACCCTTATCACACACAGAGAGTGCCTTTCCCCTCACTATTTACCCCTGACAAGACTGATGGTCTCTGGATTAATAGAAAGGAAGACCAAAGGCTTGCGATGGGGTTATATGGTGCTTGAAAAGTCAGGTTTGCAGCTTGGGAATGCTGCTCCTTACAGAGGCCACCTTAGAAAATCAGAGGGCTGTTGTGGTTTGGAGTGCTTTCGACCAGGTTTGATTGGTGTGCCAGCTGCACCCATTCCTGGCTCAGTCTGAACTAGCCATAGTGATCCATGCCTTAGTTATATCTAGACTGGACTACAAAAGTGCACTCTACCCCTGAAGATTTTTGGAGTCTTCCAATCCACTCCAGAGCCATAGTCAAGGTGTCGGTTTTGGCCTTTAAAGCCCTATGGCTTAGGACCAGGGGTAGCTGAAGGACCATCTTCTCCCAAACATTCCTGCCGTGGAGCAGAGATCATGGGATGAGGCCCTCTTTGACCTTCACATCAACCAAAGAAACTGGTCTGGTGCATACACAAGAGAGGGCTTTTTCAGTGGTAGCCCCATGATCACAGAACAATCTCCCCAGGGAGGTGCACCTGGACCCCTAACTCTCACACTTCAGAAGGCAGCTGATGACAGTTTTATTTAGGATGTCCTGGCATTCGTTTTCCTGCCTACAGGCAGTTTTAAATTGTTCCAATTCTGAATAGAGTTAAAGCCTTCTAAAACGATGGGTTTAGAAGTGCGTATCTCTGGTTAGAATTGCATAAGTGACAGGGCCTCCAGATTTGCTACTTTCTGGTCTACCCACTGGCCTGCACCCCATTTTTTTTGTGTTAATTACCAATAATGGTCAAACCACTTTTAGACCATCCCCTGCCAACATTATCAAACAGTTGAAGATTTCAGCTTAGAGCCTTTAGCACATTGAAGGGTTCAGTGATGTCTGTTTAAACCTAAATGAAACTCCAGCTTAGTATCAGGATAGCAGTTTTCTTAAAAGACCCTTAATACTGGTGCTTGGCTTGCATTTCCACAGTGGTGTGTAAATCTGATTAAGAGAGTTACAGTAGCGATGTCTGTTTTCTGCCTTATGCAGCGTTCACAAGGGATGCATTAGGGTATTTTTCACAAGCAACGTACCAGGCACAGTCTTACAAATCTGTAAGACATGTTTGCACACTTAAGTGGAAGCAAATAAGCATGCTGCACAAATACTCTTAAAATGGAACAGTGCCATTTCTGAATGTTGTTACTAATGTTGTTTTATTAATTTGGAACAATTTTGGAAATTTATTTATTTTATTTCATTTATACCCCACCTTTCTCCCCATTCAGGTCCCAAAGTGGCTTACATGGTTCTCCTCTCCTCCATTTTATCCTCACAACAACCCTGTTACGCCAACAGCTTTATCTACAGCTGAGGCTAGCTATATTTTAACATGAGTTCTGACCAGCTATACCAGGGTCGTGTCCAAACCCAGAGTCCCAGTAATGTAGACCACATGGGTATTTTTCCAAAACAAATAATTTCTTTACTAAGCAATATCAAAGTCATACATACAGAATAATCAGTCTCTCAATTCACATACACTCAGGGTTCCTTTAGAATTACAGAAATAGAAATAAAATAGATTCTCAGTTACTTGGAGGTAGGTAGGTAGCTATTTCGATTTATACTCGCCTGTGTCCAGAAGTCTTGTCTGTTGCAATGGGAATTGGGTAGAAAGTGATACCTAGGGGTTTAAGCTAAATCACACCTGCTAGAACCAGCTAAGCAAACATGGACCTCTTTGGCTGCAGTTCCAAGAGATCTTAAATTAGACAAAGGATTGTTGGATAGAAAGCTGGACCTTAGGGGTAGAAAAGAAGATAGAGGTCGTGGAGAAGGGAGGTGGCTAGCAAAGACCTGGGGTTTGGGTCTTTACTTTTATAGTTGAATCTCCAGGTGGGTGGCACCTTGCCAATCTGTAATCCCACCTACTTACAAGTCCATCCCATAGTTCTTCCCTATTGGTGCATGTGGAAAAGGGGCAGGTATGCTATGGGTTGGGTCAATATTTGAAATACTACACTCTATCTCATGGAATAGCCATCTGGCCAGGTGTGAAATGTCATCTTCCTGTATCTCCTTTGAAGTACAGATGAATGTTGGCTTTCCCAGGTATTCAATGTACCATCAACAGGAAACTGCTATACAGATGCAGATCAGGTCCGTGTCCTGCGTGACTTCTCATCTTTGCAGTAATGGGGGAATTCTCCTTGGTCGTTGTTCTCTACTCACAATGACTAACATGTGCTTCTTCTTCCCATGATGCTCTGAGCTGAATGTGTTCAAGCTACATTAACATAAAATGCAGGTAAGCGTTCCCTATGTGAAGTCTCTCTCTCACAGTAGGCGATGCAAACAGCTTTCTTTGGCTCATGGTCTACAGATGGGTGCACAGTCCATTTGTTGTGTATGTGTAGCAGATATAAAATCATAAATTAGTTCATTTCCCAACAACCCTGTGAGGTAGGTTAGGGCAAGAGTGTGTGACTGGCCCATGGTCACCAGGCAAGCTTGTGTGGCAGAG